ATAAAAAAGAGTGTTATATTGAGTATGTTTGGTGGTGTATTTAGGCATATGGTTTCCATATCAGGAGCTAAGATGGCAAACACATGCTTTACCTTCTGAGTAACCTTTCTAGTGCTCCTCAGTCCTCACAAAAAAGAAAGATCCGAGGGAGGTTTTTTTGGGCTTGGGTTTTTTTTGTTTTGTTTTGTTTTCTATTTTACAGTGCTGATGATATGGAAAAGCTGAAGAAATTTCACAAGGAATGCAAAACTTGTGCTTCTGCTTTTTTTTTTTTTTTTCCCATATAAAGAGAGGACAAGATTGAAATCTGCCCATGTGCTCCACCGTGTCCTTTTGGTGGGACCCAAACGGAGACTGATCCTCACCACCTCGGCCAATTCTCACAGTTGGATCCTCTCCCGCAGCTCCTGGCACTGTAACTCCTGCCCAGAAGACAGGAACAGGGACATGCGATAGGGCTGGCTCTGGAGAAGGGCTGCCTTGCTCTGCCAGTGATAAATCTAGTGGTCCCCTTGCTTTTTCATCACTTGCCTAATCCCGTGCCCTTCTTTTCATGTGCTGTAATTGCTCCCAGCTGCTCCCACAGCCCAACTGTGTGGAGATTGTGAACGAGGCCCCGCAGAACAATGGCAATGGCTGCTCCGGGTTGCCTCTGGCTTGTGCCTCCTGCAGTCCACATCTGCCCTGCTGTGTCCCATTTTGGGAGCGGGCTTTTCCCCCTGACCTTGCTCCGTGCTGAGGAGGGTCCTGGGGGGCACAGTGCCCCTGAAACAATAGCAAATGTTATGAGAAAAAAGCAAAACAAGGACAACTTTGCCATTGCCAGGGAGAGAGCAGCCCTCAGGTGTTGGTCCTCTTAGGTCCTGAGGGACCAGAGCCTTCAGCCCTTCACTTTCTAAAATGAGTTCTTTCTCCCTTCCCCAACTATTTTTCCACCTGAGAAAGGCTTGGGAAAGAATTTTCCCAAGTTAATTGTGTCCTTCTGGGTTGAATAAGGCGTATCTCATTAGAGGGGGAGAAGGGTTTAATATGAACTTCAAGCTGCTGTCTCAATGCTACAGAAAGGAGATTCCTAATCAGCACAGTATATGTTTTCTATAATTGCTCTTTGACATTCCTTGTCTTTCCTGGCAAATTTCAGTAAAGAAAAACTGTGGTGAAATGTTCCAGTGTGTTTTCATAGGAGCAGAAAAAAAACCCTTTTGTTTATAAATGCAGGGTTATTTAAATGATCTAGAGGATCAGCTGTTTTCACAGGTCCACTGCTGAAATGTAGTACTATTTTTCTTTCTGAAATGAGGCTTCAGCCAGGGAGCAGCTCTGGGAGGCAGCACAGGAAAGCGGTCCCATCTCACATTGTGACAGCTAGACCAAGTTATTTCAGATTAAAACACCTGGTTTCACAGTACCTCGAATGCCCAATCTATTTTTAAAACTCAAGATTATTCAAGGCAGACTTTGACTTTTAAGCTCCCAGTTTCTAGAGGTGACACTGCCACAGCTGTTCAAGAGGTGGCATTTGCCACCCTGCCCCACACTCAGTGTGTGAAGTTTGTACTAATGTTTTATCCAGGTACAAAGGCATCTGAAGGATTTTAAGTGCAATCCTTCCACAGGAATGGCTTGAACACACCTCCAGACAGCAGGAAGTGCTTGTTACTAGCAGCTGAGGATGGCTTGCTGAAAGGCTGTCAGCATTTTCTTATGAGAGAGAGCGTTACATACACTTAGTGAGTACATGTGCATATGTATATGTATATTTCTAATGTGTACACAACGTTGTTTCTTGGTATTTATTTGAGGAAGGCTAGGTGGTAGTGGGCAGTTCTTGCTGAGTCAGTTCTTATTTGCTCTCACATTCTGCTGTTTATGTGAATGCTCACACTGCATGGGGGAAGAGTATGTCCTCCAAGGACAAGAAACCTCCTAAGTCCTAATGGAGCCAAACAGAGAGGCAACAGGACAAGAAGGACACATAGGTCCAGAAGAGGGCTACAGAAATGACCCAAGGGTTAGAACACCTCCATACAAGGACAACCTGAGAGAGCTGGGGCTGTTCAGTCTGCAGAAGAGAAGGCTCTAAGGAGACCTAAGAGTGCCCTGTCAGTATGTAAAGAGGGGCTACACGAAAGAAGGGGATAGACTCTTTAGCAGGGGCTGTTGTGATAGAAAAGGGAAATAGTTTCAAACTGAAAAAGAGGAGGTTTAGATTGGATATATATATATATATTTATAATAAGAGCAGTGAAGCACTGGCACAGGTTTTCCAGACAGGTGGTGGACATCCCATCTCTGGAGACGTTCAGTGTCAGTCTGGACGAGGCTCTGAGCACCTCATTGAGCTGCAGGTGTCCATTGCAAGAGAGTTGGACCAGATGGCCTTTAGATCTGCCTTCCAGCTCAAGGCATTCTATGATTCTATGATTATTCTCACAGTTTCAGGATCTCTGCCTATAAGATGCCTGTGTGCCACCTCACCTTATTCTTGCAATGTGGTCTTGTACTTTTTACTCAAAACACCTCTCTGCAAGTTTTTATTATTTTTTCTTGAGGTGGTACAAAAAATATCTCCTTTTTTTTCCCCTCTTCCTGCGCACTTTTTTAAAGAGGGCAGTTTTATTTCTGGCCCTGAACCTAGTCTCACAGGAGGGGCAGGAAGGAACATGCTCGCCTATGTGTCCTATCCCCAATCTCCACTGTCTCATTTTGTCGCTGGTGCAGTTTCTCTTCTGCTGGATGACACGTGAAGGGCATGTGTGTCCCAGAAGACCATCTGAACACAGAAGCACTTCTTTGGCTCAAGTGGGACATGTCTCTGCACATCACACATTCCCTGTTAGGAATCAGGTCAATGTGCACCAAACTGGAGAAACTCCTAAAGTTGCAGATCATGCCCTTTGCTACAAGGCTGCCATCTCCTTTCCCTTTCAAAACAGCTGAAACATATGAAATAGCAGCTGTTGAACTTATTTTGCCTTTACACAGCGTTTTTCCAGTGAAAATTGGATTGATTAGTACCCATTTGCTGGGTTCTGCTGCTTTATGACAATAACACGTGGCATCATTTCAAACCAGGTGGGATTTTCTTTAAAACAATCTTTGGTGACAAAATAGATAGATAGATAGATAGATAGATAGATAGATAGATAAAAAATGCAGATTTAGCTGAGCAAAATTCATTTTCATACGCATTTCCCACAGCCCTGATGTGAGATGCATCTTCTAAGTGCAGTACATCAGCTCAGGTCAGCAGTTAGACTCGGTGATCCTTATGGCTCTCTTCCAACTTGGGATATTCTACGACCCTACGATTCTGTTGCTGCGCTCACAGACCGTGTGCAGCAGCCATCTGCAGCCTGACCTTCTCCTCCTGCTCCATCATGACGTCCACCTGACCTGCAGCAACCCCCCCCAGCCCTACACCTCACAGCCCCATCACACTGCATCCCAGTGCACCGCGGTGGAAGGCAAGGGAGGGGCTTCAAAGGCGCTGGTCTCACAATGGAGTTGGAGTAAGTAGCTGCTGACAGATTTATAGGCTTCAGTCCAATTAAAGTGCTGTTTATTGCTTTTAGAAGGGGCCTGTTTGTTTCTAATTTTAGAAGTAGGTTGGGGAAGTGACTAGAATTGCGAGGATGGGACCTGAGATTTTTCACCAGGGCTGCTGCTGCTATTAATCAATAGGTGTTGTTGATAATTATTTAGCCTGAGATCTCAACCCACCGTGGCAGGGCAGAAATTCAGGGCAGCACCCAAACAGCAGTGAAAGCAGCTTTGCTTTGTCTCCTGCCCTGCTACATCTGTTGACTTCGGTATGTGTTTGACCAGCCACTTTCTAAAGAGCTCCCCTTGTCCCCCATGCATCTCTTCTGCTCTCTCAAGTTCATTCATTTTATGTGCTCCTTTTAAAGAGAATAAAAAGCATGCTTGGTGTGTATGACTGTCCCTATCTCTGGCCAGCAGTGATAGGAACCTTGGGCCAGTTGCCAGAAGGAAATGGAGAAATAACAAATTTTGCCTGAGAGATGAAATCAGAGCTGGAATCGGGATTCCTGTGTGGTGCCCATAATTTTGTGCAGTTCTGCTGTACAGTGGTGGGAAGCCTCTTTGATGTCAGTTTCCCACTGTCTAGAAAAGCTGCAATATAAAGTTACTGTAAAACTTGGTTATTTGTTTGTGCGGTACTTTGAGAGCCGCTGGTGAAAGGCGCTGGATAACTGCATGGTTCCCTGTGGTTTGTAAAACATGCATTGATCACCATTTACCAGAAGGCAATGACAGTGGGTATTTAACAGACAGAGGCTCGACCCAGACACAGCACACTCATATTTCCAGGTCCTGGGGAAGTTTATGTCCTGAATGTGCATCCAAGCTCAGCACCCATGCAGAAGACAGAAGGAAAACCACATCCCAGTATGCCAGCCTTGGGATAGGGAGGTCCCATCCCCTGCCATTGGAGTTTGATCTGAAACTGGGGCATCCCATAAGACCTCATCTTGGATGGAGACAGCCAGAGCCCAGTGAGCCTAACCTTTCCTTCCCCTGCTCTGAGCCATCTGCAATAATCCTTTAGCTGTGGACTGAAGACATAAGAAATAAACTACAGTAAAAAAGATAAAAGGGAGCATAAATCAATTTCTGTGGTAGCTGAGGCTTGAAGTATGCCTAAATATCACTTAGATTGCACACTGTTTGGGCAGTGTGCCATCCTTTTATTACTTACCCATGTACAGGAGATTTCATTGACAATCTGTTAAAAATATATACATATATATCTATTTTGGCCGAATCTAGAAACTTTTTAGCAGAAAACAAGAATATTTGGTCTGAAACTGTTTTTTTTTCCCCCAAAAACTGAATTTTTTTCTTTTCAAAAACAAGTAGAGAAAAGTAGGTTGTTTGGTTTTAATTTTCATAAAAGCAACACTTTTCTCCTTCTTCAAGGCAGTCTTTTGTCTATAGTTAATTTTTTTTGTCTATGTCTAACATACAGCATCTCCTTAGAAACCTATCTGCCGTAAGCAGGATTATTACAGAAAAATAGAAGTGTGTAGGAAGGGAGAATATAATCTCACTTTTTTCTTTTATCCTAACAGACAGCCTCAGTGGGCTAATAGCCAAGAAGGTAGAAATATTAAAGCCCCCTGCACAGACCACAGCAGATGGAAAAGATCTGAGTTGGGCAAAACGTTCCTTGCTGAAAGTTGCTCTGTTACATGAAACCATTTCAGGAGAGCAGAGCATCAGGAAAGGAGCATCATGCCTTTCGGACACATTTTTGTGATACTTCAAAGGAATTATTTGCAGCGTCAGTGATGTATATTGCTTCTAGCACTCTGAAAACTTTCCTTCTCAAATGAGGGTTGGTCCTGTGGATCACTCTTAGGAGAGTATCTAAAATCAGGCCATTCTGCTGGAGCAGCAGACAGAGCTGCAGTTGGAAGAAGGTAGAGAACATGGGGGAATGGAAGCCCCAAGAGGCTTTGCTTGGTTGGCAGTGTCCCACTGCTGCCCTGTGATTCCCAAGTAGTTTGGAAAGATCTAATATGGAGGTGCAGAGCACCACCGGGCTTTTTGATAGGGACAAAGTTTCTAGGAACCTCTCACCAGCTGTCATTTAAATAGACAGTAGGCAGGAGGAGAGTCATACAGGGGTTTTACTGGTTTAGGTATCCTTCAGCATTATCAAGGCAACTGCATTACTTCATGGAATGATTGGTCTTGTATTCATCAGATGAATGCTAATATTCATAAACTTCTTCCTAGTAATTCTTATTATAGAATATGATGAAAATAATAAATATTTTGAAGGAGCTTCCAGGACATCATTCGGGCTCCACTACTGACTCACTCTGCAACCCTGAGTGAGTCTCTTAATGCCAGATACCTCCTGTTTCCTCTCTGATGAGTTAACAAATGCAAAAAGACTAAGAAAAAGGAGAAAGCAGTTACATTTGTAGATAATTGGAGCTTATTTTCAGACCCGTTGATGCCAATAGCCCACGGTCAATAGGTCATGTGTAGAATCATGGAATCATTTACGTTGGAAAAGACCTCTAAGATCATTTAGTCCAACCATCCACCTACCTCCAGTACTGCCCACTAAACCATGTCCCTTAGTACCACATCTACAAATCACTTCCAGGGGCAGTGACTCTACCACCTCCCTGGGCAGCCCTTTCTAGTGCTCGATCAGTCTTTTGGAGAAGAAAATTTTCCTAATATCCAAACTGAAAGGAGAATTTGATAGACTCCTCTGTTCTGAGAGCATCAGAAACGTAAGAAAAAAAAAAACCTATGAGATGCTCAGAATCTAATTATATGGTGGTCTATATTTTACAGACACATCCCTGACATGGGCTGAGGTCCCAGAACTGAATACCAGAGGCTGCTGATACACTGAGCCATTGGAGTAATCACATTTTAAGTAAAATACAGGTTTTTTTCAGTGCTTGTAAATAGTAGGACTAGGAATACAAGAGTTCCAGCTCATAGAAAGCAATGCGATACATGGTTCATACCTCAACTTTGCTGAGCATAATCTCAACGTGGCACAAGTCTGCTGGTAGGTAATTGCAGGTATAGTTGTGACTACCTGTAAAGCTGTATGAGAATTGCTAAGTCACAGCCTGAACCAATGACTGAGCACCTGGTGAAAGGACACAGCCAGCCCCAATAGTACAGGTAAAAACAGGTTCCACCCCTCTCTAAGCCTCATTTAAAGACTGGCTGCCACAGGAGAAGGTTCTTTACCAGGAGATCTTTTGGAGTATTCAGTGGGCCCTGATCTTTGGCATGGGTAAGTAAGTCTTTTAAGTAAGTCTTTCTTTCTTTAACTGGGTTTTGCCCATCACGCTTTTTTTGGGTAACTTAGGACTGGTTATTTGCTATTGCCTTTTCCTCCAGAAGCAGTCCTGGTCAAAATCAACTGTGGGTGAACTGTATATCTTTCCACCAAATACCAGGGAGTATTGTTTATAGGTCTCTCTACAGCCCTAGTGAGGAAGAAATGGGAAAAAAAAAATCTCTCTCTTTAATAGAAAGAACTCAGTAGGCAGATAAGAAAAGTTTTCCTGGGAACCAGAGGCTGACCTGGGCAGGCACAGAGCTGTAGGATCAACTGCTCCAAGCCTGCACCATGGGCTGGTGGGCAGGGGTGCAGCTCCTTTTGCCTGGTGTAATAATGCTGAACCAAATTGGAAACAGGGTGACTTTTCTGAGTGAATTTGAAACTGGAGTATTTTCTTCATGTGGAAAAAAAGCTGTTTTTTGTGGGCAGGACCAACGTTCTGGCAAAAGGGAAGTATGCTGTCTGTAGTCAGGCTCAGCAGAGATTAATGAAACCTGATTAAAAAGACTCACAAAAACAAAGTGATTCCATGCCTTTCCTTCTTACCCAGCTGCTATCCACCTTCTCTGGCACATTTAGTCTCTCCCTTTCTTACACATGAAAGAAATACAGCTCTGTGCATCAGCCTGTTGGATATTTTGGGTACTGCCACAAGAAATGAAAGCCATAAATATATATATGTCTGTTTGTGTATTAAATATCAGGAAGGTTGGTAAAGATTTCAGAAAAACACGTTGACATTTGGCCTAATAAAATAGTGTAAATAGTTTTTCCTTTCTGCTTTGACTTAGCAAAATATTGCATGAAAAGCTCAGAGAAGAAGTATTTCATTTTTCTTGAAGGGAGGCAGGAAACTATTAACAAACAGTGCAGGAGCACAATATCCTGATACAATCTTTAAAAATTATCTCATAAGGGCACAAAAACGTGAGATCTGTAAATTAACACTAAATTTCTAGAATCACAAACGTTCTGCAAGGAACCAACCTCTCTTAAGCAGGATGTGGACTAGATGACCTTTAAGTGCCCCTTCCAACTCAAACAATTTTTTGCTGCTATAGTATCCATGTCATGTGGTTTTAGTGGGCAATATTGGTGGTAGGTAAATGGTTGGACTAGATGACTTTGGAGGTCTTTTCCAACCTCAGTGATTCCATGATTCTTGCCAAGCTATGATATCATGTTGTCAGCTCTCACCATTTCTTCGTGCTACATATAAGGCTTTTCTTAATTCTCCAGCTGCTGGAAGCATGCAATAAGAAGTCTCAGATTTCAGTTTTTAAAGTAAAAATTTTAAAAGTAAAAATATCTTGAAAATATAGTAGAGATGGTAATTGCCAGCAAGCTATCAGCTCCCAACAAGAGCATAGAGAATAGCTCTTGAAACCTCACCAGAGCCACCATTCTGATGTCCCAAAGCTCCCAGTGCCTGCTGTGCTGTTGCCAGCACCTTGCGAGCAGCTCCCAAAATAGGTTGTCTGGGGCTCACTGCATGCAGTCCCAGCTCATTGCTGAAAGCCAGGCTTCTGCAGGGGGTGCAAACTGTTTTATCAGCCTAGTAACTGGGAGGGTCTAAACCTCCCATGTTGCAACTTAGTTGTGAGGGCCCTCAGCACAATCCTGTGGCAAACTGGGGGAAAGATAATAAAATTAAATTTACTATTGAAATAAAAGACAGAAGGCACAGTGGTTTTATTCACTAAAACCATCCGCTCCTCAGCTTACTGGAAGTTATTGTTGTGCTGCCAGTTTGCCATGGAACAGATGGACCAGATGCCATTGGAGTCTTTGGCTGGGGGAGCTGGTGGTTTGTTTTCTATAGGCTCTGGAGATGATGTTGAGTGTTGCAGAAGCCTGAGACAAGATAGAGGGTGCGAAATCAAAGATGTCAGTAGTGTCAACGTGTAACTGGAAGGGGTTTCAGAAGGTTTGGAGTTCTTAGGCTTGAATCTGTGGGAGCCAGGTTTTGAGGAGTCAGAAAGGAGTAGGGGTAGGAATGACAGAAAAAATAAACAGGTAAAAAGTATTTTAACTGTGGTAGAGCTGAGCTGCTTTGCCTGGGAAAAGCACAGAGAATTACAAAGTGATGTTTGGGACATGAGAGTTCTGTTCCCTCTGTCCACTTACCAAAAAAGAAGGTGAGGGCTTACAGAGAGGTAAGGGATCAGAGCCCATAAAGGAAGCAAGACTGAGGAAATATCCCAGATTTTATCCTGAAAGGCAGCCCTAAGTACTGCATGCACTGAGCAGGCTGCTGGGTCCAGCTGACTGCATAACATGGGGCATCCGTTGTGGTTGGCTGCTCCAGCATAAACACATGGCCTGGACAGGGGTGGCAGGAGAAAAACTGCTTTTGTGTTGTCTGCAACAAACGTGTACACAGACAGCTACTGGGAGGCAGTGGAGGACAGCTGTCCGCTTGGCTGAGGTTGATGTAAATCAGGAGGGCTCTGCTATTAGTGCTGAGCTGGCTTGCAGCAGCTGAGGCCTTAGCTGAGCCACTGAAGTGGTAAATAGTGCTGACAGCAAGTTGTGGCTTTGACAACCTTAAATGAACTCCATGAAGTGCTCACTTCTGAAGAGAATGTTGTTGAAACCTGGAAATGAGGCTCTCAAAGGTTTAACAGATTGGTCTGTTGTAGAGGGTTTGTTTAGAAACCAGATGTAGAGGATTGCAGCATCGCCTCACATGGCAGGGCAACAGCATCCTGCTCCTTTGTGCTGTAGTGGAGAGCAATCTCACAACCCATGTCAGCACAACAGTGAGCTGAGGTAGGGTGATGGTGCACAGTTCAAGTGAATGGAAGATGATGACAAGCTAAAACCTATCTGAATAATTGAGAAACGTTGGTGTTGTTGCATTCCTGGAAATAAAACTGGCACACGTTCTGCAGAAATCACAAAGTGGTGGGAACAATTGATCATGGTGGGGCTGGGTAGAGAAATAGAGCCACCTCTTGTGGGTTTGAGCAACTTGCAGCCTGCTTCAGTAAATGAGTGGGCAGTGGCAGAAGACCAGCACAAATAAGAGCAGCACTAGCAGCTGAGTTTGGACCCATAGATTGGGCTGGAGGCATGGACCTGGCTGGGCTGTGGGATCTGATATAGGGTGTGGGGAGGCTGCAGCTAATCCAGAGGAAAAGATGTGTACCCAGCTCACAGTTGGTGATCATTGTAAGTTTTGGGTTAGATTTAGCAAGAGGACACTGATGCCTAGATTTATTATTTTTTTTTTGGGTTCTTAGTAAGATATCCCAGGATTGCATCTCTAATGGAGAGTTAATATTCCTCTAGTCTCTCCCTGTCTTGGAACATCAATACTGCAAGCTCAGAACTGTCAGCTGGAACTGCAGGACACCAACTGCATTTCTCTGCTCCTGAGACTTGGGGACAGCCCTCAGGGTTGTGACAAAGTAGACACAACTGAGGTGACCACCTTTAATCTTCTTGGTGAGTAATTACCAAACTCAGAACATCTGCACCATGCAGGCACCAATGGCTTTTTGCTGTAACATCCCTTGGGATGAGAGATCATGGGCACTGAGTTGGCTCACAAGACCTCAACATTTTTCTTCAGTATGAATTTGGAGTGATGAAGAACCAGAAGTTGTGCATCACCAGGCTCCTGTGCTGTTCGTCCTGTCTGCAAGCCCAGGCTCCTCCTGTAACATCTGGGATGGTTCTTGTAGAGAGCATGGGACCAGAATCAGCCAGGAATATCATGTCAGGATGCTTACACTCAAGGCGGAGTTGAGGCCTGCAGGAAACGGTAAAACTGTGAGATTTCACCTGGAAGAAGCTTTCTTCAGATGAGTCTGGCAAGAGGCTCAGTGAGGAGCTGCAAGGAGACCAATGGGAAAAAGCAGAAGTGGACAGGCTCCTGGAAGGCTGGGAATGGTGGGCATGTCAAATCACTTGCTAAGAGTGCCCCAGAGTGCTGTGAGAGTTGTGAAAAAGGCAGAAACACCACTGATATCAACTAGTTCTCAGTTGGTTCTGTCAGAGAAAATAAAAATTTAGAAGCCTGACTAATCCATAGCACTAAGTTTCTTACTTAATCTTTACTTTCTTTAAAATAACAGCAAAAAATTCATGAGAGAAGGTTATTTTGCTAGTCAGAATCAGAAGCAAGTAAATTTTCTGCTGTGCTTGACTCCGGTGTTGGTTCATTCATTGCCACAGCCTTTGAGAAGGGAAAAAGAGTCTGGCTGCTTAGAATCACAATAGTGTTGATGGACACATTCCTCTATCATATTAAGGCTCCTCATCATCCCACATTCAATTCTTGGCCAGATCCAGCGAAGGACAGAGGCATCTGTGCGAAGAATTTCAATAGAATTCCAGAGAATTACAATGGAATTACACAACAGCACAGATAATAAAATTTGTGAGTTATTACGATTTATATTTCTGTGGGTTCCAAAAAAACAATCCCAGTGTAAATACCCCAAAAAACCATTGGAGTCCACTCTCAAAAGAAAAAAAAAAAAAAAGAACAGATATTCTCAGTGTATTTTGTTTGTCCACCAACCATTCAAAAACCAGTGCCATCCAGACATGCTGGAAGCACGTTATTCCTACCTGGGAGAGGTTATATGCTGGAGATCTAAGGCGGAGAAGAGCTATAAGGCTGGAGTGAAGGTGATGGACGAGGTTTCATTCAGTCTGCAGTATCTATGGGATGAGAACTGTCTTTTTTGCTCTGTTTATGCCATCCACAGCACAATTGAGGCCTTAGGCTTTTAAGGCTTGACTACAGTACAAACTATAAACACCAATAACACAATAAGGTCTCAGATATTTTAAGGTTGGTTGTCTGGAGCACACTATTATGCATCCATCATGTGGCAGTGTGAACACATGCTCTCTGTGCCTAAAATTAGAGTTTTTCTCAGTGTGTTCTAAAAGCTGTTTGCTTTTCAATTGCAGCGTGCAGTTACAATGACATGTAGATGATCCCTGTGTATGTTGATACTGTTTTTCAGACTGCAAGTGTGTTTACTGCAGGGGAATCATAAATATATTTCATTTTGTTTGCTGCAGCTTTATGCTGTATAAGGACAGAAACATTTATTTGATTATGAAACCCTGTTTTTGTATTTTTTCCAGATTTCTTGTTGACATGAAGAGTCTGTCTTTTGTTTTCCCACACTGTTGGAGGATGGTAGCAAAAACATTAATGGATGTGGATCAGCAACATCACTCACAGATGGGAGAGGAGGAAGAATATCCTGCCCTTCACTACTGAAGTTTAATACCAACTTGCTGACCAGTCCATGGCACTCGTATTCCTGTCAGCAGATGTGGATTTTCCAGCAGCAAATAAGCCACTAATGGTACAAAGTCCTTCTCAGTATGGTGTAACACTTGACCAACCCAGGCCAAAAAATGAAGTCAACTCATGCAAGTTAAAGTATCACATCAGGCCAAAGAGCTTTGTCTTTCTGTCATCCAGCAAGAACTGTGTATGGGGGACTCTTCTGTGTATGCGTTACAAACTATTGTTGGTCACTTTAACAGAGTAAGAAACCAGAAACATCATGGAGGTCAAGTATGAAGTGCTGCAAGCCTTCAAATGCAGAGGTCAAGCATACAATGAAAACAAAGCAAAGTTGTAATGCTAGTTGCAAGCTGCATGGATAATCAATAGCAGAATGTGATTCCTTTTAATCAAGGGTTATTTTAGATGGCACCAGAGGAGAAACAAACAAACAAAAAAAAACCTGTAAATTTGCTAATTGGAAGTTGAAATCTGTAGCTGGTAGCAGGCTCCCAGGAAAGAAATAGATTGCATGCAGTAAGAGTAATGTTCAGCAACAAGTTCACAGCAGTTAGCTCACCAGGGAGATAAAAGTTCATACTAAGGTAATTCTTGTGAACTCTTTTATATGCTCAAAGCAGAACAAGGATATTGAAGTGCCCTATCTGGAGGATTCTCTCCATGACACAGCATTCATGAATGAAAGCTCCCAATAGCTATCCTAGAGCTAGTAAGATGGAAAGGTAACTATTTCCCAGAACTTGAATGGTTTTCCCCCCAAAAAAAGTATTTGAGCAACTGTTCTTTTGATAAAACTGTCCTCAGCTGAGGTGAGGTGGGTTACTGTTGTAGCAGTATGTGTGTATATACAGTTTTTTTACCTAAGTTTTTGACATCTGAGTTACCTCTTGCAGCCTCAGCCCATCCTTTGCTGCAGGCATGGTGCTGGGTGAGCCATTGGGCTGCAGTGTGCAGTCACTCTGTTTTTTTCCTGTTCACTGTGGATGCTGTTGGTTGGCACGTGGAGGCTCTCTGTTGATGAATGAGTGCTGTGAAGCAGATGGGATGGAAACAGAGATGTTCTTGACATTCAATCAGATTGTAATGAGCAGTTTTTTTTTGTCGCCAATGGGCTGAAACATGCCCATTTCTTAAAAGCTGTTCTTTTTTTCACTGATGTGACCCAAAGTGACAGCTCCCTCTCCTGAGATTTCCTCTGACTTGATTTATGGAGTCTGAATTCCAGCTGCATGCTACTTGGGGCACAGACTGTGTGATGTTCCATGTGAGGTGCCCAGACAAAACAACAGCTTTAAAATATCATAAAGCAGCCCCAAAAAGACTTGTCAGAGCTGGAGGGGACAGATCCATTGCTTGCAGGCAAGGGGAAATGAAGAAATGCAGGAGTTCTGTGCTGTAGGAAAATCTCCAGCTAAACTGCTTTCTCCCATGTATGATTGCCTACTCTGAGCCTATTCAAGGAGTCTTTGGGAAAATACCTAAGAGGATTTTTCCTTTCAGATTAAGTGATTTCTGGATGATTTTACCCACAGCACATCAGCAGGGGGTGAATTTAGCTGCACTTTGCCTGCACCAGTGAAAGAGAGTCTCATTCTTTTCAAAATCATCCACTAAATTAATGAAGACATGAGCGTACATTACACTGAAGCTATTTAGCTTATTCAAGGCTCCTCTCTCAGATCATTTCCTTCTGTGTGTGTCTTTACATCACAGGCTCTTCTGTTTATAATTTCCAAAGTTAGGGAAAAAAAATATCTTTTAAAGGAGTTACTCTCAGCATTCAGCAGTCAGAAACTGTACGTACAGTAGTCAGCCTGAAATAGAAAGATGAAAGACCTCGCTCTGCTCAGTTAATGCAATAATGATCACTCTTTAGCTCAAATATAATATGAGGTGAGTGCCACAATTAACAAGGAGTAAGAACCAAAATGCAATGTCAATTTCTGTTTTGTTGTGTTGAATGAATTACTAGGATCTTCATGCTCTGGAACTTTGGCTAGGATCATTCTACTGTCCCGAGGAAAATAAAATGTTTGGTCAGTGCCAGTTCCTTTGACTGCCATTGTTTTCACTGGCTTTGGGAACAGACCCTTATTTTTGCTTTACTTCTAATTCTCTTTTTCACCCTTCTAGCTAATGAATAGAGTGATGCAAGATATCTGCAAAGCAATATTGAAAGGATGCTGCACTGAAGGAAAACAAGGAAGCTACAAAAGCTACAGGAAACTCATTTTTTGAGGACAAAATGGAAAAACATTCTACAGGAATGTTGTCCTTGTGGCCTGAAAGCCAATTTGAGTGATTTGGGTATGGGAAGTTGTGGGGTGGGCAGGTAACATGGGCCATAAGTGCTCTTTTTCTTCACCTATCTATAGATATTGAGCTTTTCTGCTGTTACGGGGCTGAGATTCCCAAATACTTTCATTGAGATTTTGTGCTGCTCAAACCTATTCTGGTCAGAAAGACAATGCCACCTCCACTGCAGAGCCCAGAACTCCACTTAAGATATCATGTTACAAAGTTAATAATCTGCAGATAGTCCAGAAATTAGGCCCCTTCTAGCAGTTCCCATTGATGTGATGAGAAAGTGTGACTTGTTTTGCATTCCTTAAGCACCTGCTTTACATTCGTTGAGTAGAATTTAAAAAGAGCTCTCCAGGCCTATAAATGATGATGGGTGTCAAACAGCCTTGCTAGCACCCTGCCTACCTACAGCCTTCCTAATCCTGCTCCCAGCTCCTCACCTGCAGCAGCCTGTATTGAACAGGAGAGCCAGGAGCTGGGCTCCTATTGCAGCTGCAGAGAAAGGGCTTTGCTCTGGATGTAATCTGCAGCACTTCGTATTTAGGGACCTTGCTTTAACTTTTTACTTGTTTTTCCTTTCTTTTTTTTTTCCCCTCTTTTTTTTCCCAGCTACACTCCTGTCAAATCCCAGTTTCCATATGAAGGTTTGCACCAAGTTGAGTGAAAGCAATTAGGTAATCTGTTTGTAACAAAATACTTTTCTTTTGCTTTAGTAAACTTAGTGCTTCCCTGTAAAAACAAACTCTTTAATTACTCAGGTGTGACTACTCACCATATTAAATCACCATACTACCTCAGCATAATAATACAGTTCTTTACAATTTCATTTTAGAATCGCTCTTCTTTTGCTGACATTTAATTTTGCACAGGAGTAACACTATCATAAAAGAGCCCAGGTGCAAAAATATTATGTTTTTAGTAATGATGTACTGTCCATTACTATTAAAAACTAGAAAAGCTATCAGCGCTGCTTCATATCAACTGGGATTACTTAGCTTACATGTTTAAGAGGAATCATTTAAGAGCTCTGTTGCAGCACAGGTGCCTGTGCACCTCTTCTACACCTGGCCATTTGACAATATACTTTCATATGTGAGGTTTCAAACTTTCCCACAGGTAAATATTTTTTTAATTTTTCTGCTCAAAATGGCAAACACAAAGTTTTTGCAGTAGGGAAGAGGAAGGGCAAGAATGAGTTGCGTGTTTAGTGAATGCCGTTTTTAGAGGTTTGTATCCTTAGCTTTTTGGATGATGATTTGCCTTCCTGAGGCTCTTCTGACAGGAGAAATTACAACTGTAGTTGCTTGCAGTTCTGTCTTCATTTGCTGTGGTATTGATTCTTTATAATAGAACTAGAAAGATGTTCAGCTTCACTGAAACCTACAGCAAGACATGCTGGAATTAATCTCTCCAACCTTCAACAGTGCAGTTTAGCAATCAGGTAACCAGTAACTAAGAGGCTAGATATATACTTTCACACATGGAGAAACATAACCTCCAGGGAATGATTTGTATCATTCTGATGTAGGTTTTTTTATAGAGTAGGAAACACCTGCAATAAGGCTGCAATATGGTTGTATGCTGCCATACAACCAGAGCTTCATTCCTCAGGCAGAGGTGTTGGAGCAAAGGAGAAGGAGCTGCAGTTTTCTGTCCTTTGCCATTCATCCAGAACTCCGTAGCTTCCAGGTTTGTCTCTTTCGTCTCCTTTCTACTGGCATTTTAGCACATCTGGATCTCTGAGTTTTCTCTTTATGTAAAAATTGCCTTTACTTTTTTTTCCTCCTTGATTTCTCTCAGAAAGTTTCTGCATGTTCTTATCTGCAGCTCCGATCTCCATTTGCTGCTCTTATTTTTGAGTGGTTTGCATGGTGGTTTCTCCTGTCATGTTTTTATCAGGCATCCTCCAGTAACAATCCTGCTGTTTTGCCCCAGGTTCTGTTTACCTTCTCTATCTGCTCTGGTCCTCATGTTTTAAGGCTGTTGGAGTTCTCATAATTGCAAGGTTTGGGCCTTTTTCAAATGGTTGGTTTTTTATCTTACTCAGTGTACGTTTCTATTTTCTCCCTTCATTGGACTGTTCATTTTTAAAAGTCTTTTAATCAAATGAAAGGAATTAAAAATGAGGAGGGAAAACCCAAGAATTTAAATTCCAGTCTTTTTTTCTACCACAAAGAACCAAGAATTCTTTCTATTTAAGACAGTCACAGATTTTATCATTGTGACTGGTTTCCATTAACTTTGTAAGTAGAAAGACGTTTAGCAAAGTTGAAAGCTGTCTCTTATGTGATGACAGACTTTGCCTGGTTTAGTATTTGTACTGGTTAACTACCAAATCCTGAGTCTACTGCTGTCTACAGCCAACATTTAGTGTTCGCTAAAAGAAACATGACTTAGAAATATATCTTCCATACTAAGCTTTTGAAAACACACAGTATTTTGAGTTAGAGAAACAACAGTTTTAACACGTGAAAAGAAATGTTACCACAAGGCCTCCTTGAGAGAAAGAAACAACAGAAAAGGGTGCAAAGGGTCGGGAAGAAAGCATGATACATGTTCAGCTGCCTCATCTATATACAAGATAACCTATTAATACTCATTCATACAACTAAAGCAGCATGAACTGGTTGTATGGATTGACAAACTGGTTAAACCAACAATGGCACCATGTTGGGATGCAGTAACACCAAGTGGGATTTTGTTTCTGGAAGTCAAGGCTCTGTGGATGCCTGTTGGAGCTCTATAGTCTTTGCCATCGCTGTGCTACCATAGCCTATTTAGTATTCAACAAAAGAAGTCTCAGCTGGTCTTTCCCATTTCAGTTCACACAAATCAGGTTTGGATAGAGGACTGAGGGGAGAGAAAAGCTTCCATCTCTTATCTGTCAGGATTTTTCTTTTTGCAGTTTCTTGAGAAGACTTTTGTAATACAAAAGTTCTCTGATGTCCTTCCACGCTGCTTCTTCCTTTCACATCTGACCTTGTAGGATCACTGAATGTCTTGAGCTGGAAGGGATCCACATCCTCAGGCTGCTGCCCGTCATCTTGGCCTGTCCTTGAGCCCCTGGGCTGAGGACTCTGAGAGGGCTTAGGCAAACCTAATGTTATCCAACCCCTTCTGCTCTGCAAGGCTGCAACTCTGGCTTTCAATCTTCACCCTTGCTTCTACTCAGGTACAACTGTTACTATTTTCACTCTTAGTTTAATATCGGAGAAAGCTTTCCCTAATTAATCATTAGAAACAGAGAATGCATAATGCATTCAGAACTGCAAAAACTTAATTCTGGTTAATTTTTTACTCTCTGAGTAAAGTCATTATGCTGATCTTTCAATCAAGAACACCCATTTTGTTTATTTTTAACGTTCCTTTCATTACGTTATGAGCTTCTTAAGGATAATGAAATAATTGCTTGTGTCTTTGATTGATCTTTGTTTTGAATGGAAGCTTTAATAGTGTTATTTCTGGCACAGGCTTACAGTATAATACAACTGAAGGAAATCATGACACTAAAACACTTTAAAGCACACGTTCCAATAATTAGACCTACAATCCTTGTCAGCCATAGGACTGTACAGGGAGGAGTTCCTGTTACAATTTATGAGGAAAGAATTCATGCTATTTTGCTTAATAAAGCAAAAAATATTACTAATGACATTTATTAATAGCTGTAGCAATCTGTGAACAAACTCCTTCTCCAGGCAGCTCTGGAAAGACATTCACATGCTACAGAGAAATCCCAAATTCTCAAATCCAAATTTACTTTTTAACACTAAAACATGCCAGATGTATGGTAACTTGGGATCTAAGTTCATCCTGTGTGAAAGATGTTGAGGTTCCTCACATCTGGAAATGTATGTTCCTCCTGGATCTCCTACTGAAGACCCCTTCCAGCTGTTCCCTGACATCTCAGTACCCCTGGTTCCCTGTCATTAGGACCAGCACCTGGTCAAGAGAATGGCTTCAACTGCACTGAGTGCACAGTGGAAGCTGACAAACTGCACAGATTTGCAAGAAAATTTCTGGAAGGCTCTGAAAGTAATGCCTCCTATTTTATTATGTTGGCCCATGATATCAGAGGTACAGCAGTGGAGGCTGAACCTTCCTATCAATATTCATTACGTTTTGTTGCCGTGTGATGGCAGCAGAGGGGCAGTCTGTCACAATGACGTCTGATATGGAAGTGTGGATGAAGAAAGAACAGTGAATGTCAGCACAGTGAGGACTGAGTGATGCATTTCAGAAGTGTCTGAAATATAATAGCCTGTCACATAAGAGATACCAAGTTGTCTGAAGTTTAGAAACAAATTCATGTTTTGAGGACTAATTAAATGTCTTTAAAATCATTCAAGTTTTAATAACACTCAGTGCCCATCTCTTGCTCTCAAAAATGAACTGCATTTGCATCCTTGGTAAACCGGATGCTTCTGTGTTGTAGCAGTAATCATTGTTGGAAGCAGGAATCGTTTTATTCAGCCAACAAGAGGAAAGAAGCCTTAGAGCGAAGGACAGCATGTGTCTCACAGCATATCAAGGGAAAGTAGTAGAGAGAAGTGCTTTAACAAGATACAGGCTCTCAGAAGAGTTCTATAGTATACAACTCTGTGATATCACATGATGGAGGAAATTTTGATATAATTGGGTATCTGTGAAGAGTGGATATGCGTGCACACAAATTAGAAGTGGAAAGGAAAGGAACAACAGAAAATCAGAAACTAAATGCACATTTTTTCAGCTTGAAATACAGCTATGTTCCTGTACTGATGGTTAGAGCATAAGTGAGACTGTGTAGGCCAGCTATACTATATTGTACAGGCAGGAACCTACTTGCCCCTCAAAGAATTCAAAGATAATTGGTCAGAAAAGTGTATAATCCTTAGATAATGACTTCACAAAGCCTTTAGGACACAAAGACGAGGGCAAGGCAAAAGCATGTGGATAAATAACTTTCTGAAATGTAACTTCTTTCCCATCTTCTTTAACTTGAATTCACAATGACGAGATTGAAATCCCAGGTAATCAAACTATTCAGTTTGTTTTGGTTGTATCATTTTGTTTTTGTCCAGTTGCAATCGCACTCAATTTAAATACCTGGGCTTTGGTAGAGAAGGGTGGAAGGGTGACATTTTTTCACTTTTTTGAATCCTAAACCTAATCATTTTTCCTTATTTAAGATCAGTGAGATCACTTAGAGGCTTGTCAGCTAGGTTGGACTTTGCTGGGAACACAGCTTGCCCTCTGACATGGAGGAAGGTAGAAGCGACCCAGGGTGCTCAGGATGCACCGTGAGGAAGAAGCGTTGTGGTAGCTGAGTGGGTTTGTGGTAGCGTTGTGGGTGCTGAGTTTGTTTCCCGAGGAACCAAGCTGGATCACTCAAGAGCTGCTACATGGCACGATCATTCATTTTTAATAGTGTGATGCCAGCATTATAATATCGAGTATAGCCCAACCCTCAGACGGAACACAATCATGCTGTAGCTCATTTTTATATCAGGTGAGGATTCACTAGAGACAAGGCTCTTTAGCATCCACCCACACATGGTACTAACAGTGAGAAACCTGTTTCACAGGGTCTTAAAGCATGGTGCAGCAACTTGAGAGGAAAAGTGAACCTGATAGGACTTTGAGAACCTAAGCGAACAGGGGAGATCTTGCTAACACTCTGTACTTTTCCAAGCTGGAACTGTGGCTTTTAACATTTCTGTTCTTGAGAGGTTGGGCAGCTGGCTGAAGCTGGCCGGCATTACTTTTGAAGTATGGATCTTCTATTTCTGTCAGAGGAGTCAAGGCCACAGGCACATCTAACAAGCAACTCGAGCCTGGGACTATCTGGATTTCTAAGTTCATGATGGAAAAGGGTATTGTCCTTGTTTTTCAGGATGTTTGTAAGCCTACGTTAGTAAACACAGATGATGGCAATTAAGGCTTTGGGAGAATCTTGGCACGTTGGAACTGACCGCTTTTCTGATTGAGAACTGAGATAGTGGGAGAACCCTTTATCCCCTGGTTGAGCAAGAACATCTTGAATCTGTTTATCTGTGTATGAAAAAAATTAATTAAACCTCCACGGGCCGGATTCCTCAAGGATGATAAATGCTCAGCTGGCTTTAGGATCCTGCACAAAAATATGAGTTAACCTGGAGAGCTTTTGGATTTCAGATAAAACTGAGGGGCAAGGCTATGAGGCACACACAGTGAAACATCACTGCTAGGAGGCTGCATCATTTGCATGTACAGAGCTGGCGAAAACATCCCGTTGGGTGATTTTTGCTCAACAACTCAACAAATACTACCTTTCTCATGCACTGATCTGATTCCCCAGCAGTCACCCATCCACATTTCCTGGAGAACAGGAGTTGAGGAAGAACCTACAGCTCAATGGAGACACAATGCTGTTCAAGTTTTGAGTTGCTTGAATGATTTGTGTTTTCTCTCTCATCCTACCATTCCCTATACTGCAACACACTGACGATAGTTACCTCCCAGAGGCTGGATTCAAATGCCTTTCCCCAGAGAGAGCTGAACCTGCATCTCCCACATCTTGGCTGAGCGCCTTAAATGGTAAAGGATCTGGATATCCTCTTCAGCGCTGTAAACGTAGGCCAAAAATAGTTTTCAGCTGCAACTATATGACTAATTTGACCTGAGACTACTTCTGTAGGGCAAATAAAATATTTATTTTATTCACAGAAGAAAAATACTTGCCCTCCCCAATGAAGAAGATAGGAGGGAGGAAGTTGTGGTACAGCAAATGAGCCATAAGATCTTGTAGAAAATGTTAGGACTTGACACTAATATACAGCTCCTTTTCCCAAGCTACAGTTTGAAAAACCCAGAGTTCTCCTCCCCATCTCCTTTTGCACACAGCTATATCACTATTTACATGCTGGTTTCCAGAATATCTCAAAGTCACTACCATACTTCCAAAAACCAAAATGAGATAATGAATACATACATCTCATAGCTGCAAACCTAGAGAGACGGTGCAGGTAGGTGTTTGAAACATGCAAAGTACTTCCAAAAAAAAAAAAAAAAACCAAAAAAATCCACCAACTCCAAACACGCAAATTATCTTTCTTCCTACCACTGTGTATCACAACAACAACTTATGGGAGGTGGGGGGGCAGAGGAACAGAGCTTAAACTACCACTTTGGAAAAACAATTTCTCAGTTTGTTTCTGCTACATCAATGCATTAACAGTTTCACATCATGAGCTGAGATGTTTGCAAAGCATTTTGTTCTGTGCTACTTCAATGGGTAGAAGTACTGGTTCTAAGTTTTAAAAGGCATTTCAAGTTAGACTCCTAGGATCACATTCAAACATGAATAAAAATAATCCAATTTTCACATTTGCTATTCAGCAGCTTCTCATAGCATATGTGGTTGCAGCTGCAGGGCCAATATTTTTGTAAGTCAGGATACTTATTCAGGGGTTTGAATGCAGGCTTGAGATGAGTATTTGCAAAGGGAGCTAGGTGCCCACTTTCTATGGAGAAAAGATTTAGGAGTTCCACAAGCATAACTTATAAGTGTCCATTAGGAAAATCTCAGCTTTGCTGTAAATGCCTCTGGATTCCTTAGATTTCATTCATTTGGCAGCCAGGCATCTAGCTCTGTATGATCTGAAAGAAATTTGCAGAGTTCTGTATAACTTCTGTAGTCTTTCTCTGGAAAATGAATAAATCATTCAAGTGGAAATACTCAAACAGCTGGGCACATATCCAGATACAGTATGCCTAGCTTAGTGGCAAAAACTCACAGCACACATCCTGTATTGTCAAGGACACTGAATGTTTTGGCTGCCCTAATAGAAAAACAATAATTCAATCATGTATTATAAAGGAATTTCCTGGAGACATTTGGCTTTGCTCAATCACCCTATTAGACTTGTTCTTAATGTGGAAGAACGGCCCACTAAATTCATTACATACATTAGACCAGATATGTTTATTTCTAGATGGGTTTCCGTAAGGTGGTTGAAATGCCTAAAAAATACATTTTGAAGATGCCTTTATACGTAATAACAACAGCACAGTCTTGCACCACTGTATGCTCAGTAATTGTTTCTCACAGTGGAGGGGCACATTTAACACAACTAGCTGTAAGTATTTTATAAATCAACAATAACAGACCCACGGGGTTAGGATCATTGTTTTATTTTGCTGGCAGGGACCTGCAGTGTGTCAGATGTTATACAAAGACAAGAGAGAATGTGTGAGGAGATAGTTATGCTAATATTTTCCCCTTCCTCTCTGGAGTAACTGCCTTAACATTACACAAGTTGATGTGTCCTCAGCTGTTCCAAATTACCTACACCTGTTGGATCTGGCACATTAAATAAATACCCAATGAAACATAACTGCTAAAACCCTTTTCCTTAAATGTTCTTAAAGACCAGCATCTCACTTGTTTGTAAAGACTGTCTTATGCTGCTTGACTGTCTTCCAACAGTAAGCCCACAGATGTCAGTGAGCTCTCAGAGTTCACAGGGTTTAACTTCTCAGGGTCTTTTAGATGTTTCCAGTCACCCTCATCTCATGAATGTGCCATGTACCCTGCTGCTCCTGTCTGCCCTGGAGACCTGTGCTGATGTGGCTGGTTGACCAATGGACCAATTGTCACTTCACGATGGAGTTTCAGCCTGAGGAAAACTTTCTCTGCTGATGTTCATCCCACAAAGCAGCTGTTCATACACCATGCCTTCCATTCTCAACCCTACAGCCAGCCCAAAGCTCACCCTATATCATGCCCCATACCACCCATTTCCCTCCAGGAATGCCCATGTGCAGCAGGCACTGTGACGCATAGAGCCATAGAATCATTCAGGTTGGAAAAGATCTCTGAGATCACCAAGTCCAACCCATCCTGACTGTGCCCGCTAACCACGGCTTCAGTGCCACATCTCCGTGTTTCTTGAACACCTTCAGTGACAACGATTCCACCACTCCTTTGGGCAGCCTGTGTCACGAGTCTCACAGGACAGGTCCTCCATAACAGAATCAGGGATCAGTGCTGTTCCTCCCTCACCACCTGCATTTCAACTGTCCTGCATCCCTACATCCAGGATTTTTTAAGAAGTAATAGCTCACGTGATTTTGCAGTTCCTTTCCATTTCACGTCCTCCTGTGGAAATTCCTGATCTCTGATTTTTTTGCATGGCCAAGTGTGTAGCAGAAATGCTAAGTCATGGCTTGAAGCAGTGATTGAGCACCTAGTGGGAGGCAGGGTCAACCCACTGAAGCTCAGGTGCATACAATGCAATGCAATGCAATGCATTGCACTGCACCTGAGTGACCAGAAGGGGTGAAGCCAGGATCCATCCCTTCCCAGACCTCATTTAAGGGTGGGCAGTGGAGGTGAGGCTGTCTTTCAGGAGATCTCTACCTATCTGCAGCCTTCAAAGGTAAGTAGTTTTTCTTCTTTTGTTTGATCTGGGAATACCATGGCAGTGCCATGCTCTGCTGGATGGGGATGGGTGCTGCAGGAGTGTCAGTTCACCTGTCTTGCTGTTCTGTAGAACCTGAGAGGTGGCAGCTTCATGGCAGCGGACTTAATGGTGCAAATACAGATATCCATCAGTTACCCATTCATTCTCATTCAGCTCCCATTCACACACTGACTGACTGCAAGCTGTCAGTTCAGCAGTGCTTTGTGCTGAGAAAGGCTCACTATTCTTGGATCTGTCACAAAACACTTCAAGTTGTCACAGTGCTTCTGTCTGAGAAGAAGCAGAGGCATCCAACGCTTCAGCGGTGCCAATGTAAACAGTTTCTTAATA